TATCAAGGACTAAATATTTTGTGAAAATTTAAAATATGTTTAAAATGTGTGCTAAATGTTACTCATACATCAAAGAAATTCATAACAAATATTATAACTATAAACGAATTAAGATTACATAAAAAGTTATGAGAAAAACTATAATTTTCTTCTCATATGAGACTGCTCAAACATAAATAAACAATACGAAATTTTAAACGCGATATTAATAAAAATTATTCTTTTTAATAACATTTATTAATAAATAGTTGACTAATTATATTTAAATTTCTATATACGTGCCAATAACCAATTCGATATATTGAGAGAGAATGAAGTAACAATTTCTCCAAACATAATAAAAGAATTTCCCTAATTAAAAAATATTTCAATTTAATAAATACATAAATTCCATCAAATAAAAATCAATAATGCATATTAAATTTTATGAATTATTGTTCTACTTTCCATTACATAAAATAAAATAAAAGTCTACTAAAATTAGAATAAAAAATTACTGATTAAACAAAAACGTCGATTGTTTATGACAATATTTGCGCGTTATATATAATAAACTTCAATTTTTTTTTTTTTTTTTTTTTTTTTTTTTTAATTATTTTAATATACCAATGAATAATAATATATATCGTTGGAAAAGCAAGTCATTAATTAATTTATTTGAAAAACTATTTTTGTTAGATTTAAAAATATAATATTTAAAAATTACGGTATCAACATTTTTGTTATTAATTGTTCTTATTTCAGAAGAAAATTAATACTTGAGCAACAATTATAGTGATTTTTATTGGCTTAGTTGAATTTACGATTAAATTACTTAAACATTTTTGAAATACAATAGAATTCCATGACTAGTAACGCAGAATCCAAATATTTGTATTCGTTCTATTTATAATTGGAATTTTTCTGATTCCTTTATTCATCAATATTTTGTATAGACATAATACTCTTGTCATTAGTTATATAAAACAAAATACAATAATCAATTCGAACGTCTGAATCTGATTAATTTAAAAGCATTTAGAATACAATTATAATTAATTAGCAAGAAAAATTTAACCATTATAATAATAACATATATGTCTACTAAATACATTATTAAATCGTCACATTATTTACCTATTATTAATGATTAATTAGAAATAATTAATTAATATATAATACGTCGTATAAATAATTTCATTTTAGTGCTCATTTTGATAAAATAACGATAAGGAATTTTTGCATCAAATATAAATCAATCTTTCGTTCTATTGTTATACATCGAAGAAAGTAAGTAAAATTTAATATTAATAAAAATTTAATTTTTAAATGTTAGAATGTATTATTATAATTGGGCGATATATTAGAATATATGATACATTTGGTAGAATTTTATTTATTCATTGTCATCCGACGATTAATGTTAACCTTTAATCCAAATTTATATACTGACGAATTTATCTATTAAAAATTGAATACAATATACAATATAGATCGGGTGCATTGTTTTATTTTAAATTATTATTTCCACGTCTATTCAAAATATAAACTCAAATGATTATAATGAATCATTAAAAAATAGATTGCTTTACTCATAAATGTTAGCTATAATACTAAACGTTCTTGCATTTAATATAAAATATCTTATAAACGAAGCTATTTTAAATGAAATATATTTTTCAGTTTTTAAAAATTTTTCAAATTTTCAAGAACAATAATACCATGAATAATATGCATTTTTGTCGAATCCATTGAATCAGATATTAGAAATTGTAATATTACAGCGTGTATCGGTTATATAAATCATATAATAATTAATTATCATTATTTATTCTATGTTCAAATATTATATAATTATAATTTATAATGGCTGGAAAAAAATCAAATGAATACTTTGAGTTTTCAGAAAATATAACAAATTACTTTCAAAGTAATTTTATTACAAATATTCTATATAATTTTAGTTCCATATTTTCATTCATTTCCACATTTCATTTAACATTGGTAAAGGCAATATTGTAAATAAATACGCATTACCTTATCATCCAAAATCTCTTAAATTGGTCATTTTAAATATTATTCAATTTTTATGTAGAATTTACATTGTAATTTATTAATCTGTAAATTGCCTTTCACAAACAATTTAATAAATTATGCGATACTTATTAGTTTGACCAATGTATGGATAAGTTAAGTGTCGATATGAATGTTCAGTGATTGATTATAATAGTACTAACTGATGTATTAAATAACAATTATTTATAAACATAAAATATTTTTATATCACCGAGATTATTTCACTTTCATTCCAAATATAATGGATAATATAATACGGATAGTTGTTACACGTACTCACAAGTAATTATCAATCAAATAATAAATTAGCGCAATATAAATGATACTTAAGCTTATGTAAATTGCAAATTGAGCCTCGTTTAAATAATTTGCAATTATAGTTTTCAATTACAACTTAATATTTCAGTATGTCAGCTGTAAAAATGTCGCGGAGAAAATTTTATAGAAATATGTAGATTTTTCATAAAAAAATTTTTAGAAATATCGATTAAATATTCGTTGTATTGAACATAATTTTTACATGACACGTATGTCCTCTATAGAAACTTGTACTTACATTTCGTTATATTGAAGTTTTTTATTGTCATTTAAATTACTATAGTTATTTTGCAGAAAAACTCGATTTGTTTGTTCTTAAATATTCCAAGAAGCTTGAAATAACTATTAAGTTAATATACCGTTCAATAATAGTTGTTAATTTTATTCATCTACTACAAGAAGGCATACAATGTAGCTCAAATAACCGCAATATTACAACTGAACTGTAAAATTGAAAATTGGAGCTATGAGAGGATCAATCATAAATTACAAATTAATGTAAAGATGAAATTGTTAATATTATAGTGGCAGTTGGAAAAAGACGTCACAACGAGTATAAAAATTTATCATATAATAGTTATAAGTAAATTGACAAATATACGACAACTACGCTGAGATTTTGAATTCCTATATAAAAATGAAACATATTGATGTTTCTGACAAATGAATTGCATAAACAAAAATTTTGAATGTTTTTAACTGTTTAAAATTAAATAAGAATTCCTCTTAAAAACTTTCCTCGATTAATTAAATTAACATTATACGTAATTATCGGTATGGTTCCGATGTAATTAATTAACTTAATTGCACTTCGTTTATGAAAATCTAATTTTTATAGTTTTTCAATTTTTAGACCATTCAAAATTTACTATAAAAGATAATAATATTTTTGTTTCTTTATTGGTTTCTCGATATAAATAAATGTTAAATAAATATTCACGTAATACTTGTTTATAATTAACTAAATGTGCAGATATTTCATATATTATATTGATTTTCGTGCTAAAATGAGACTTTGAAAAATGAATTATAAAAGAAATAATGAGACGAATTGTATATTAACTTTTTATCCCATATTATGAAAAGTACCTAGTAATATATAAATTTTGCATTGAAATTTCGAATGATTTCATATATATTTATTATATATAGATAAGACTATTTGTAAATAATTTTTTATTTAAATTATACATATTTTATGAAAGCTTATAGGTAGATAATCCTAAAATACAGGCTACCATATATTTTATCCTTAAATGATAATTTAAATAAATTATTTTTTTTTATATGGATTGAGTTAAAAAATTTATAACAAGACTAAAATTTGTAATATATGAATTTTATTGGCAAAGATAATAATAATGTTCATATTATTTATAAAATTTGTTTTATAAATGTGAATCGTAATATGTAAATTTTTTACCTAAACATTAAATAAAAATTTTTTTTTTTTCGCCAATAAAAAAACATGGACTGCCATTCGTATATTATTGCGACATCTAACGGTCTTAGTATTAACTGTCGGGTAGAAATCTTCCTTATCTATAGCCACAAAGTCAGTTGTCAATTATGATAATTAGACTATACATAATAGATTGATCGCCTTTGTTCTAATTTATTAATTAAATTTTTTTTTTAATAAACTAATTAATTAATTAAAATATAACATTAAATATATCAATTAAACGAACAATGATATTTATTACATATTACAACAATTAATTTTATTTTTGTTAAAATATGAATTCTAAACATTTTTTTGTTTGTTTTGGACACATTTAAGAATTATTTGTAATATTAAACTTAATTGTAATGGAATATAATAGAAAAACTAATTTTAACAGCATCGTGATATATTTTATTAAAATGCAATTATTTAAACACGAGTAATATCGATATCAAATCGACCTCTATTTCATTTCGCCGGACTCGCTTATAAAGTTACAATTAATAATCATCTTAGCGCAGTATCTTATATCGATTTCATTTAATATGTACAATCGTGAGTTCATGGCATGAGAATTAACGCTAATCAATTAATACGTTTCTGCTGTAGCATTAAAAGTTGATATTAAATGGTAATGATGACATTGATGCTGCGATATAATAATAATGATAATGACGACGACGACGACGACGACGACGACGACGACGACGACGAAGATGATGATGATGATAATGATGATGATGATGATGATGATGATGATAATAAAAATATTAATAATAATGATAATAGTGGTAGTAACAGTAGTAGTAGTTAGTAATAGTAGTACAATAGTACAAATAGTATTAGCGGTGGTAGTACATGTTGTTGTCATTGTTGTTGTTGTAGCATAAACAGCAGAAGAAATAGTGGTAGGAGTAGTAATAGGTTTATTGAATTCGTCATTTTAGTAAAAATTTTCTAGCCACTTTACTTAACAAATTTTAACTGGAGAATAATTGTAACAGCGACGACATGATTTATCGCAATGACAAACGATAATGAGAATGAGGATGCAGATGATTGTAAATGATAATATAATGTGATGTGACATAATAGTAATAATAATAATAATGATAATGATAATAATAATAATAATAATAATAATAATAATAATAATAATAACATGTAAAATCAATAGTAATAACGAGTGTAAGTGGCGATGGAAGGGTCCCGGTCGCCAGGTGCGTCGATAAAATTTGAAAAATTCATCGTTATAGCTTAGAATATAATTAACTATACAAGTATCTTTACAAATTCAACGATAATTTTACCTTTGAACAGGTATTTTTATAAACGGTATCGCGTATAACAATATTGTCAGCAAGTGCGTGTGTGGAGGCTCTTTTGTTGTCATACACGCACGTGTATTCTTTCGTACACTCTCACTCGCTCTCTCTCTCTCTCTCTCTCTCTCTCTCTCTCTCTCTCTCTCATTCCGTCGCTTTAAAGCTTGTCCACGTGCGAGTGTCGCGTCGACTTCGACATCGACATCGACATCGGGAGTAGTAACGAGCGAGTATCCCTTATCTCACTCGGGGTGGGGCTCCTCCTCTCCTTCGCGCTAACAAAATGTTTCTTCGTCGCTGAGGCGCTCGTAAAAGTTAAAGAGATAGGCCCGCCCCCTCGTTTGGCCACGGCACTCGCTGGAAAAAAAATGGCAACGGTGGCGCTCGGCCGTGGCGGCTCGGGCGAGGCGAGGACGATCCTCCCCCGTCCAGCGTCCCCTCGGGGTGATCTGGTCACGGGGGAGCGTGGAAGACACGAAGAGTGGCTCGGCGCTGGGAGGGCCGGCCCTCACTTGACGAGGGTGTAGACGGGCTCGTTGCTGTGGCGCGCGGGCACGCAGTGGCCGCTGTAGACCTTGACCCCGAGGCCGTCGCCGTAGTAGCTCGATGGCAGGGAGCCGGGCTCGGTGTGCCGCCTCGGGCAACGGTGGCCCTTGGAGCACTGGCAGAGCGGCGAGGCGTTCACCTCCTCGAGCTGGGAGGAGGGCCGCTTGTGAACGGTGAATAGCCGGCAGGGCTCCTTAGGCTGGCACCTCATCCTCTGCAAGTAAGCCGGATTATCAGTCGGCGAGTAGGGATTTTCAAATGACGGGAGGTTAGCGGTTGTCGTGGGGGTTGGATGATTGAGATGGAATGGGATGGGATGGGATGGGATGGGGGGGAGGTGTGTGTGGGGGGGGGGAGAGGCCGCGGATCCATTGATTTCTCCATTCGCGTTTCGAATTGCGCTCGTCACGGCGAACAACATTGTTGGATCGAGCGCACCGCCTCGATCGCGGCCTCTCTAATGTATCCAGTTACGTTGCCAAGAGGTACTTCAATAGCCGCGGGCGTGCGAAGTAATCGGGGCTGTGCGAGCGATCTGCCAATTATTCGATGCCCTCGGCCGTGGAAAGTCGGGTGTGGGAGGATGGCGAAGAAGTGCAAAATAACAAAGAAAATTAGAAAAAAGTAAGACTCACGCTTTGCGGAGAGCAGGCGAAGGAGTAGACGAAGGCCGGATTCCCATCGGGCAGCACGTAGTACTGCCTCTTGACGAGATAGGCGACGCTCCCGGGCCGGCACCTGCAGTGCATCTTCTGGACGGTGGAGTTGTTGGGTCCGGCGCCAGGCGCTATTGTCCACGTGACGTCTCTGTAAGCGAAGGGACGCGTCGTTAGATAACGTGCGCGCTATTAGATGAATCGATCGGGGTGGTGGGTAAAATCTCGGTGATATTTTGGGGATTGGGTAAGGGCGAGCGATAACGAAGCACGGCACCTCTCGAGGTAGTTACGACTACTCACTTGAAGTAACGGCAGATCGGGAGGCGCTTGACCGGCTCGCAGAGCTTGTACTGGCGAGTCTTGTCGACGATCGTGTGGCCGTCGTCGGCGTGGAGGCTGCGCGAGCAGGCCCGAGCGGAGGGACAGCGGCACTGCCGCTCAACCCAGGGATCACCGTAGAGATCGACCTTGCTGCAGACCTCGCTCTTCTCCCGGCACTCCGGTAAATCCTCCTCGCTATTCTGGAACAGGAGAGGGCCGAGCGTTTGGTTAGCGTAGCTCGGGATATCTGGACCGCGCGCCTCGCTTTCTCGTCACACAATGAAGATTTTTCCTTTTTATTTATTTATTTATTTATTTATTTTTTTTTTTTTTTTTTTCAGCCTATTATGTCTGGCAATTTTAGAAAAGTGCTTGCCTTTACGCAACAACGTAAATGACAATGGACAGTTGTGTTGGCGGCTGGTTCGGATGACGGTAAGCCGAAAGCTCGTTTGCAAAATCGTCGTAAAATCGCTTGTGCCGTTCACTTCGATTCATTCGGCGAGCATAATAAATAAGTCGATAGACAGGGTCGATGATTCGGAATGACATGCAGCAGACGCTTTTTACGCTTTGCTACGCAAGTCTTTATAGTCACAGCGGCTCTTGTGCTTCCTTCGTTTTACAACTAATAATTCGCGTGTTTCCGGTCTAACCACGCAATACTTTTCTCTTTCGGTCGTTTGAATTGGTCGTTTGGTAAGGACGGGAGCGGGACTGCTTTAAATGCCTCCGAGAGCCGAGTGGAGAGTGCTAGCGACTCACCTGAGCGCTCGGGACTCGCGTTCGAAACTAATTTATGCTCCACGATCGTTTATGATTGCTTTAAACGTATATCTATCAATTTTCACAACCAAATGATCAACATCCGTTGGGCGCGATAGCGCCTACTTACCGACAACGTACATCTACCGAACGACACATTCAAAGATAAAGAGTGCCTCTGGGACTCTCTCTCTCTCTCTCTCTCTCTCTCTCTCTCTCTCTGTGCGCGTGCGTGCGTTGGGCGATAGGGGGAGGTCGTGGGGGTGGGGAGGGCGGTAATGAGGTAGCGGTGGGGGAGGAGAGCAGAGAGAAAGGCCCGTTAGCTGTCAACATTGCTCGTAAAAAATACTCGTGAAATCCCCGTCATCTTCCGTCTTCATTTTCACGTTCGCATGTCGAAGCCCCGGAGCACCGGCGGCAATGTATATAAACGCGCGTCTCTGCCTATCTCACATCGTAAAATGAACGTAGTAACTAAAGCTCCGAGTCATTTGGCTTCAGTTTCCAAACGTCAAATATCAACGGTGTCGTTATTTTGCGTCAGGTGTCAATGAATTTTGCTGACCGGCGAGCGTTTACGTAAGCGTTTACGCGTGAAAGCGACGGCTCGCACACGAAAACGAGTCGTACGAGCGAATCGAGCTCGGCATCTCCATTGGCCCGATAATGAAGCCGACGAACGGCTGCCACGTGAGGTAGGGCCCGGGTAAGCCTCGAGGGCCGCCTCGTGGGAAGAAGACACAAGCTCGTCGCCGCTACGGGTCAAGTTGTTCCGCTGCGCTTTGTTTTGTCCGAGTTTGGGCGATTAACGGAGAGTTGGCCCGCGCAACCGAGTGCCTTCGGCATCGTTTCATCCCCCATCGTTTTACCGGCCACCTTATTTTACGTGGGATGAGCAAAAGGAAAATCGATATTGCAGCCGATATTCGTGTTTACGAATAAGCGGTGGCGATCGATAGTACTTGGTTTGCGATAAAAACGCGAGGTCGGAGCGGAAGCGCTTGAACAAATGTAATCGAGGAGATGGTCGTGGGGACACGATTTATTTTTCTCGATCTAAAAAGAGAGCGTCGAGTTTTTTTTTTTATTTTTTTTTTTATTTTTTTTTTTTTTTATTTTTTTGTATGGCCGGTAAATAAAAAAAGGAATTATTAGAAAAACATTAAGCCGTTATTATGGGAGCGGCCCGATGAGGAACGAGAGCGAGCGGGGAAGGAAATGCTTAATGGCGGGGCGTACTGGCAGGGGTGAGGGGGATAGGGGAGGAAAAAGGCGGGAGAAAAGGAGGTGGAAGAGCGAGCGAGATGGCAGAGATGAAATAAAGTAAAGGAAGAAGTAATAAAGGCGCGAGAAAATGGTTGGAAAAGGAGGCTGGAGCGGTAGCGTGGAGGAAGGTCGGTCGAATCGTCGCGTTACGTGGGAAACTGCGGGATGAATTGTCAAAGGACGAGCGAGCGGCCGAAATCAGGAAGAGAAAGGAAATTTATTTCCGGCCGGGGTTATCATTGAATTAGCCTCGGGGGTAGAGCCGGTGGAGCCGGTGAAAAGGAAACGGCCCCGGCAGACTCCAAGACGGAACGAATGCTCCCGGGGGGGATTTTCCGTCAGCTGATTCGCTCGCTCGCACTTTCCTCGCTGTCGCTTTGACCTGGCGCGCCTCAAGAAAGAGAAGGCGAATTAGTACTTGGCCGGTAGTAAAAAATAATGGCTGAATAGGCTCCTTTAAGAAATGGCGGAAGTCGCCGACCCGGGGGTGAATAAGCCGGAAGTCCCCACTGTGCCCCCTGTCCCCACAATAGGCCCGGCAAATCATAACATCCTTCTGGCCTCGGCTCGCTGATCCTTCGAAAATCCAACTTTTTATACCTGTCCCCGGTAGTACGGAAGTGTGCCCGGTGCATCGTCACAGGAAAAAGGGACATTTCAGTCGCCCTCCCGCCCTTCCTTCCTCCTCCTTTTTCTGCTTTACTCTGGTCATTGCTTTTTCGCTCCGCTCCTCCCCCTCCTCGCGCACCCCATCAACCACCAACCCACTACGTCCCTCCCTCCCCCATCCATCCTTCATTCCGTCCATCCTTCCCTACTGAAACCGCCATCCGCATGCTCTACACTGGAATACCGTTTCATTCTTCTGGCATCGCTAAATATATCTTAATTCTCCTACTTTCCAACCAAATCATCCATCGCTTTACCTGCCGCGCTCCTTCTTTTCTCCTCCCCAATCCTCCGACACCCATATCGAATTGCTTGTATCTCACAGCTATTAAATACGCAGCTACGTCCAACCGGAAAACCGTGTAAAAGCCTAAAATAACGTAATTCCATGGTAGCCGCGAATACTTTATCGTGAAAGGCCATTTAAAAATGAACGGGGACTATGAATCGCATTTTAACGCCATCCATCGAAATCCCGACGGTAAATACTCGTGAAAGGAGGCGTGGATTTTAAGCGAAAGGAAAACTACATGACCAAGTGGCAAGATAGCGTCTCCGATGCCTCGTGATATATACAAGAGCTTTCATATTAGTACGTGAACAAGACGCAGCTCCGTTTCCACGGCAAATCGATAAAAATAAACGCTACGGTACTGACGAAGGCCGAAGATGATAAAAATCGCTGGGCTAGACAGGGAAGCATAAACATTAATTGGAAGATCGATCGGCTCCCTACGCACAGTATTTAGAGCTACCACTGGGCGACGGCTGCACGTACACGCGCGCGCGCGCGCGCAGATAGACAGAGAGAGAGAGAGAGAGAGAGAGAGAGAGAGAGAGGGAGGGAGAGGGAGAGCATGTAAAAGACAGAACGCCAATGATGATCCCAATCGTTTAACGACCTTAACGATACATGTATGCCCGACGTCGACCCCGATAATGATTCTTTTTCAAGCCTAGTTAAGGAGAGCGTCCTCCCTCTCCCCGCCCCGCTGCACCGTCGCACTTCGTCACGTCGACCGCCAGTTGGTTCGTCTGGCCCTTTAAATCGTAACAGGGACGTGTGTACACACGCACGCACGAGAAAAGTGTCTTTGCGCCCGCGTCCCATTCAGCGGCCGATCAACGAGGCAATCACGTACGTCCTGTGCGCGGCCGCAGACGCGCTGCATACGATACCTTCGCCGAGAACGCGGGAGAAAAACGTCGACGAGCATTCCTTAGTGGCCGTGAAACGCGCGACACGCGCAACAGTCTGCCCCCGTAGCATCTCCCGCTAAAGAAACCGTCCGAGGAAATGCTCTTCCGCCGTTTTACCACCGAGCATTAGACTTTTTGCGCCGGTATCCCCCCCCCTACCTCCCTCCCTCCCGTCCCCCTCTCCTCCTACCGCCTCGCCATCCCGGCCACCCGACCATCGGCCAAAGAGAGAACGTGATTGTTTTTTGCGAGACTAATCGCTTCCCCTCCGACGATCGCCAATTTCCCGTCTTCCTGTGTGTTTCGGGGCCGAGTGATCGAACGAGAGCGGTAGGGGTGGGGAGAGGTACGTCCGATCGCCGAGAGACGGCCGCTCCGTGTCCGTTCAACGGAACCGTTTTTTCCCCGTCGCCGCATCGGCGATTTTTCTTCTGCCCCCGTCACAGCGAGAAAAAGTGTGGCTGGGTCCGTGCGGCGCGGCGCGAGCTGCCGGCCGGGGGGGGGGGGTGAGCGGGCTGGGCAGAGTTTATGGAACGGAGTGGAACGGGACGGGGAGGGCGGCGCGGGGAACGCACTGGCTATGTGCGTCGTCACGCGCCGACCTACATTCCGTACGTGAATGACTTTTACACGCGATGCCCCTCCGCCGACGTGTCAATGAATGAGCAGCGCGACGCGTGTGCGTATGAATGAGCGAAAACACACGTGGGGCGCAAAATGAGTACTCCGTGTGTATACGCGCAGCACGCATTTGCACGACGATGAATGACGAACGAATGGCCCATCGTTACATGTGAGAACGTTAAGTCGATGGCGGCGTGCGGTGCGGGAGGCGATGAACCGGCGGGGGTGGCCAAGGATACTCGCGGGGGCAGAGGGGGTCTTGGAGGTGGGGATTGATTGGGGCGGGAGTAGTAGGGGTTAGCGGGGGAGGGGGTTTCTTCCTCTCGTCGAGCCTATTATTTCGGCAGCTTTTTCATTTTTACCGACGTGCCTCCCCCACCACATTCGGTCCGCTCCTTATCGTCGGCCAGATAAAAGCTGCCGAACCGCGCCGGACGGACATTCGAGGGGTCTTTTTTGCAGCTTTAGACGCTCGATCCACTCGGTCCACGGGAGAAGGCGATCATCTCGTCCGAGCCGCCGAGCGCTCGCGCACTTTGTTTATTGCGCGGTAAGTAATTGCAAACGCGATCGATAATTTAATGACGACGGAGCCTCGTTTAAGGGAAAGCTGGACGGGCGCTTGTCATCCGTTGACAATTGACCGCCGTTAATCCACAACCAGCAAACGTTTGCCCATCTACGCGATTTTTTTTTATTATAATTTTAACGAATTCTCGCCACATCCAATTGTATTGTTTAAATGTCGATCGAGTATTAAATGTGGATCGAGCAGATCGAGAGACGACTCGATCTAACAATTTTATTTTAAATAAAATTAATAAGCAAATAAATAAATGAATTGCCGTTATAGCACCACCAGCCGCAGGTAGCGTAAAGTCGTAAAGTAGATTTTCAACATTTTTCATGCATTTTTCACATCTGCCGTTCGATTTACTAAATCCGATTATTATGATGCTTTTGCTCGTTACGTCAGTGATCTCTAACGAGCTATTAAACACATTGCAATTAAATTAATACGAAACAAAGTAGAAAAACAAAAAATTGATATGGCCTTTTTAATAGCGTTCCAACGATACAGAGTTCAAAGTATAAATAAATGCAGCGTTAATTATGTAACGTCGAGAGTCGATTGCAAAAATGCCAATAACCGGACGCGATAAAAGCGATTGAAATTAAAGGCTAGAAAAAAATAACGTTTTGAAATGAAAATCCGATTATATGTGCATTCGCGCACGCATGCACACTTACAAGTTTTTTGCATGCGTGCGCACGCGCGTCCATACACAAGTCATTTGATTATTTAATAAAAAGCTTAAATACATAGTCGGTCGCGTGTATTATGAAATACGACTTACATAAACAAAGTGATATGTTTAAGTGGTGCCCGAGGTCGTATACTCGTGTTCCACGTCAATCGACGCGTCCACGAGTAAAATGCAGGAGATGAAAAAACACCTCTATAGCGCCCGGGGAACTGGGCGATGAAATTTGATATTCGAGCTCGAACGTAAAATAAATAGGCTAATTAAGTAATCGATAGCGCGGCTCGTTAAGCGAGCGCAAGTCGCGCATCCTTGGGAAGATGCGCGTAAGCTCGTGCCGCGCCCGAGCGGAGACGAGCAGCAACCAAACAAAAATCTCCCGGCGCCCATCAACGCCAGCATTAACGAGTTCTCGACTGGCGTCCGAGCCAATGTCCTCCAGTGCTCACTGGGTGATTATGATTTACGGAGGGGTTTCGATAGCTCGTCGACGTGGCGCGGTGACGGGCATTTTCCCGACACGCGAATGAAAGAGAAAGCCTTTCCCGGAGCCCGTGCCCCACCTCCACCTGACACCTACATGGTTCACCCTGAAAGTCGTGGGGAGGCGCGAAAGGAAATCTCGGCGCACGCCGCCGCAAAGACCCAGTGTGGGCCTGAGCTCATACATCCCGGAACGTTAGACGTAAGCAATATCTCCCTTTACCCACCCCCTCGCCTCATTCGACATCCCTATACTCCTCCCCCCCTCCATATCTCTCTCTCTCTCTCTCTCTCTCGCTCTCTCTCCCTTCGTCACTCACTCTCATACCACCCCCGTCCTCGCCCCCCGTCGCCGCCCAGGCCCGAGAGGCTCATCTGCAGCCAGTGTCTCGAGCTGCCGCCCGGTGCACGAGTGCCAGGTGTCGGGTTCGCTGCGGTCGTGGGAGAAGCCAGAGACTCGTGAGAACTTCCGGATGGTTTCCTCCTGCGAGAGCCTTCCGGTAGGTAGCCCTATTATTCCATTTTAGTTCACTGCCACCGTTTCTCCTTCGCCTTCTTTATAGCGCGAGCGCGCGCGCGCGCGCGGGGAGTCACGTGGCGCACTCCTTTTCGCCGGAGTGCAGCCCCGTGTCGAGGACTTTTCGGCTTTCGTGCCAGCGGCCTCTTAGTCAATGACAACGAGATCTCCCCGAGTCCGCCGTCCCCTCCCTCGCTCATCCTCTCACGACCAGATAGACCCAAAATCGTCGTATTAAGTTTCCAGGCGGGAGCCATTCTACGGAAAGCCGGCCGTTATGCGACCGGCAACATAACTCACCGTTACGTAATTACATTCCGGATGTGTCTTTTCCATGGACATTCATCCTCGGCCCTTTCGCGCCTTTTTTCGCTACGAGTCGCGGACGCCCTACGAAGCCCGGGGGCATCGCGTTTCCGCTCGCTGTCAGCCAGGAGATGCGCTCGAAGGGAGGCCGGGAGGGGTAACTCGGGGCGTGGGCGGAGATTGTTTAGGGCAGTGGCGATTGGCGGTGGCGGGGCAGGGGGGGGGGGATGAAGATTGAGCTCGGCAGGGAACACGTGCTCGTTCTACTATCGCGATTAGGTGATTGTTTAGACGAAGCGCGGATCCCCACCGAGTCATATAAGACCAGAGAGCCCCGCGCAAATGGCGTCTTATCAGCGGCGGGCGGTAGAGGGGTGCGAGGCTAGACACCGAGTAAAAGTAAAAGTACGCTCGGATGTACGTGTAGATCGGATAGATCGCGGCCGCTCGATGCTGTGTGTACTTACGCCTGTCTGGTAGACGACGAGAGGCTCCTTGCGGCTGGCGTGCGCGTGTTTCTCTCCGATGAGGACGATCGTCGTGTCCGGGAGTTCGGCCAGCTTCTCCAAGTCCGTTAGTATGCTGTTATCAGAGGGCATGAGGGCCTTGAGCAGCTCCTCGCCCGTCTCGTCATCGAACTCCATACCGAGGATTCCCTCGGCCGGCGAACGCGCTGTCCTCGTCACGGCAAATGCCGCCGCGAGCAGCCACAACTGGGCTTCGATATTCCTACCGAGCCTCATCCTTGGGCTCCGTACTCCCAGTCTTCCTTCCTCCTCCTCCTTCTCCTTCGCTCCGACGCCTGCTGCCTCTGTTTCTGCTATAAGTCCAGCTGCTGCTCTTGCTGTTGCTCTTGCTGTTGCTCTTGCTACCACTGATGCCGCTACTATTAGTGCTGTTGGTGGTGCTGCTGTTGCTGCTGTTGTTGCTGTTGCTGCTGTTGCTGCTGTTGCTGTTGCTGTTGCTGTTGCTGCTACCGCTGCCGCTATAGCTCCTCGTTTCCTCCTCCTCCACCGCCACCACCACCTCCTCCTCCTCCTCCTCTTCCTCCTCCTCCTCCTCC